CAGATACTATTTAAATTGCTTTTTGGGGTTGGTGTTTTTATGGTTTATGGTTTTGGATCAAGCAGATGTAGCTTAATTAGGTTTTGTTAAGTAAGCCTATGATAATAATAAGTCCCAGTGCATTTAAAATTTATCCTTATTCGGCATTTAAATTCATGCCCTGACAGGCACAGCTCACTTGGCTAAGCCCCTTCCCTCCAAGCTAAAGGTTGCTGGTAGGATTCCTGGTCAGAGTTGCGGTCCTGGTCCAGGGTTGGGGGTGTGTGAGAGGCAACCAATCAATGTTTCTCTCCCTCTTTTTCTCCCTCCCTTCTCCATCTTTAAAAATAAATAAATAAAATCTAAAAAAATTCAAGTTCACAAATTTGAGTCCAAATAATTAAATAAGAATTGGTGAAAGTGCATCTTCCCAATGACTCAGTTCATACCAAGTCCCCAAAGTAGGTTTAAAGAGAAACTTGGTCAGAAAGAAAATGGAAAATACCTTGTAATATATTAATAGTATAATATCAGTGTAACATCATAAATACAAAAGTGAAACATTTACTAAAACTTCACACTATATAACTCATTTGCATGCTAAGAAAAAGTAACTGAAAAAATTCCTAACTCCAAATCTTTCTAATAATTTGACTTCAATTGGGCCTAAAAGTTGTTAGAACCACTAAGAAAAAACGTAATTAAATTTGTAAGACATGAAAAGGTTCACCTAACAGAGAAAACACAGAAAGTCCTCACGGTTAATTTTGGCTGTTGATGTGGAAAGGAAACAAAGGCTTGTTGCCGGGAGAGCAGAGTGCATTCAGCACAGGGGTAAGGAAACAGCCTCTAATTAGTCCTCGGACCCCAGGGGGTTGGCTTGTTTCCCCGTGGGGGGCTCCTGGAGACAGAAAGTCTCTGCCTGACTGTGCGATGGGGTGAAGCCTCCCTCCTCTAATGAACACATCAGCGATCTCTGACCTCAGTCATTGTGGGTGCAACTCCACGGGGAGGTGGAGACCCAGCAAGTCCGGTCTTGAGGAAGTGACCCCCACTTCTGGAGACCTCGTGTGTGCTTCGGGACACACCAGAAGCTTTCCCCACAGGTCCTCAGACTAACTGATGAAAAGCAGCAGAAGCACTAATACCAGGATATTAAAAAGATCTCCTCCCTTACCAGAAGCAAGAGGTTGAGAGGTAACATCCAGGGCCTGGCACAAATAACACCCCCCCCTCTTTTTTTAATTACAAACTCTCTTATTACAAAATTAGAAGCATGTCATTCTGTAACATGACAAGCACTCAAGCACACCTTATGCCATTTTAGGTGAAGTGGTCAAATTGCTGTCCATCTCACGTGAGACACTCATCACCCACCAACCACACTCAAGCAAGCCTTACTTCTGCCAGACCCTGCATATGGAATGGGAGCATTAGTTTTCAAAGAACCCTAACATAAGAGTAACCCAACAAAATGATGTCAGAATCCCCAAAATGGCAAACAGGAGGGCGATACATTCTTCCGAGGTAAATTACCTCCATAATAAGAACCATCCACAAAGGTACTCTAAATAGTCTTTCACTGTATTTCAATGATTACTTCACCGGTATGGATTGGCTGTGAAAGCACACAGCTTGGCCAGGCACACTCTCTTACATTAAATAAGTGAAAAATAAAAGTTTAGCTAATAAACATATAATCACTGTTCCTAGTCTCAAAAATCAAGTTTAATCTCCAAATTAAATATTTGTGTGTGCTGCTCACACGAAAGTCAGTAAGACTGACACGCAACAGCCTCACCAGGCAAAAGACCAGTGCAACCGTGACTCTGAAGTGACCCTATTTTCTTAGTGTGGGTGATGGGAGACCTTGGTATAAACAAAAACATAATGTATTTTTATTAAATTCTCTCACTCCCACCCAGTCTTTCTAACCGTATGGCTATTATCTGATGCTGGTTTCATCTCTGAAGTGTTCTAACATCATCTTCTCCTGAGAAAGAAGGGAGCTACAGGGCCTCTGCCCTACTTACACAGGAGGCGGGAATAACCACCTGCCAGACAGAGCACTAGCTCCCCGGGCACAGCTCTCCCCAGGTCTCAGCGGGAGCGCAGCCCTGCCCTCCCAGGAAGCGGCAGACATCATCCTGAGAAGGAAGAGGCACAGTGCTCCCAAGCAGAGGTGCCCTGGAGCGGCAGGCTCCTGCTACAATCGGCAGGGTAGGCCTGACCCAAAGGCAGAGCAGTAGACTTGCCTGACCATGCAGTGTCGAGGAAGAAAACCCTTTCGGAGTCTTTATCCACAATACCCTCCCCAAGGAAGTGTTTTCTTAAGCGTCACATTCTTAGTCAATAAATGACTGAGCATCCGTTTGGCATTGTAGGCATCACAGCAAAGGCCCTCCCCTTCCAGTGTCTTCCCCAGAAAAGGGCCTTGAGGTGCATGATGGCCGTGACAGAGCTATTGTGTGGACAGTTACCCACCGTGGCTTTCCCTGTAGACAAAAACTCTGTCAGGATTTTGCCTCTCAAGGAAGTATTTACATGATTACTTCTTACTTTGTTGTCTTAGAAGGACTGTAATTACAATGTTAAAATCTATTTTTTCAGATATCCTCCAGTTAAAACTCTAAATCATAGTATTTGGTTATGTCTCCCATTTTCTTTTTCCAGTTATGTAATTATTCAAACATTCCAAGCCACTTTACAGTGGAATTTGTTTAGAGTATTAGTTCACTTCTTAGTTATTTCCCATTTCTTAGAAATGCATAATGGAATTGAACCATCATCTGATTTCAGATTCTTCCTTTTTAGCAACATTTCTTTCTTTTGGGGAATGGTCATCAAGGAAGATGTATAAAGGACACATGGACAAAGCCAAAGGGGGGTAGGATCGAGGGTGGGAGATGGAGATGGGGAGGGGTGGGGGGAGTGGTGAGGGGAAAATGGAGACAACTGTACTTGAACAACAGTAAAATAAATAAAAAAAGAAATAGTTTGCCTCATGTGACTGACTTGGAAAAATATGGAGAATTTTAATCTCATGAACTTCATTCACTCAACAAAATTTGGCACACTATTGCAATTCCTGAAAGATGGCCCTATGTTTTTTACCCAGTAAGTGGTAAAAGTTTGTTTGATATATGATAGCATTTTGAAAACCAGAGTCTTTAAACATGATTCGAAAAACACAAGTATCCTCTGCGATCATTTAACTGGGTGTGAAATTAATGTTTAGCATTTGATCTGTGTGTGAAAACTGAATCAAATAGATTTCCGGAAAGATCATGCTTATTTTTGTTATTAAGACAGAAGGCAGTTGCCATATAAAGTTCTTTCATGAAAAAAAAATGGTAATATATGTTGCAACATATTTCCACTGAGGATTAAGAGACTATTCTATATATAATTTCAACCTTTAAAATTCTAAAGAACATGACAATCTCATACATTTTGTGACAAGGCCATTTATCAGTTTGTTTCTACAAGTGTCTTCCTAGTGGAGGAAGCATGTTAGATTATTTGGTGGATCCTTCTAATACGCACATCGTTCAAACTCTTGATTTTCAATGGACTATAAATGTCTTTAGGGTTCATAAATCCTCCTCTGGACTCTGCTGTGTTTTTGCAAATAAGAACCTCAAAACTACACACTTCCTAAAATGCATTCACTCTATGCATAAGTACTAGAGGCTTCTGATTTCTGATATCAGAGAAGGTGAAGATAGCCGCTCCAGGGCTTTCCCCGGCGGGCATACGGGCTTTCCACAGCGAATGCCATTCAGCACTGTGGACAGCTCCCATCGAGGCCTGAAATTCAGTGCAATTTCCCTTAGTTTCCAAACATAATCTTCACTTTACTGCTATACTTGTGTGCTGTTAACTAGACACCTATTAAAACTGCTTACTGTGTTCGAACACTCCTTTCCCAGGTTTTTTTTTTTTAACGAGTTCAGTTCATCAATTAATTAGGGCCGCCCTGAGTGACTAGTTGTTATTGTTTGTTTGTAAGGGAAAGCCCGGACTTATTGCGGAGCGAAAATAACGTGGCCGCGGGGTGTGCGCGCAGGCTAATAAGAGGATCTACTTCATGACCTTCATTTGATAATCTCTAAACAATGCTCCTAAACCAATGAATACTTGGGTGACAAATAAGATCGGGAAACCTCTTGATTTTAAGTCTCCAAGGCAATTTTACCCTGACAGCTGACAACTCCCTGCCCTTGTTCTCGAGCTGGGGGAAACCGGAGAGAGGTTTCTGAAATAGACTTAGAGTCAAGGTCAAGAGAGGGTGTCCCTGTGTTTCAGGAAGGGGCTCTGGGAACGCCCGCGTCCGTGTCGGGCTCCGCTGCGCCTGGCGCTCCCACCCAGCCCGGCAGCGCCGCCGGCACTGGACTCTCGAGCCAGGGCTGTCCGAGCGCAGATCCCCGCGCCCAGCCTGCCGACCACGGTCTGCAGGAACGCACCGAGGCTGCCCACTGCCTCCCGCAGATGAGAAGCAGACGAACGCTCCGGAGGAGGGAGCGGCCAGAACAGCTGGGACCTGTGGGTGACTGTCCCCGGCCGGCTGGCCGTCTGTCCCAACCTCTGCTCAGCCCCAGGAGCGCCTCTTTCCCTTTGGGGAGCGAAACACTTCTTGGGGACAGAGCACGAGGAAGGGTGACACCCCCAAAGCCACTCTCCGGCCGCGTCCTTACACTGCCATCTCCGAAGTAAAAGTTTCCCTGGCACAACTTAGCATCCTCCCACCGGGGGTCACCGTAGCCTGTCTCCGGATCGGTCCCCCAAAGTTCTCCAGGCAAAGGCGGACAAGCTTCCGGGGTCCCCGGGCCACAGGAACTCCTCGTCCCACCCCATCCTGGGTGGAAACTAGTGGAAGAGCCTGCTGAGCCCGAGTGGGGGGGGAGGGCGCCGCAGCGCCACCCTCGCCCACCGCGCGCCCCACCCAGAGCCCCGCGCCCCTCCTGGCGCCCGCGCGTGCAGGGCGCGGGCGGGACGGGCGGGGCGCGCGGAGCCCTCACCTGAAATCGCTGTAGGGGTGGATAATCCAGAAGCCTGCAGTTTTAACCCTTTCCTGCTCCTTCTCCACCGCCTTCTGGCTCCCAAACATGCGGAGGGAGAATTTGTTGACGCCGGGCTGCAGCATGGAGGTGAACTGCCTCTGCATGAAGCCGTACTGCCGCCGGGGCCCCTCGGCGTCCTCCAGGCCCCCGGCCGGCTCCTCGCCGCCGCCGTCCACCTTGAAGCACACGGAGTTGCCCAGCTCCTTGGCGCCCGTCCCGCCGCCCCCCGGTGGGCTGCCCGGCCCCTTCTCGGCCCCAGCCGACCCCGCGCCCGTCGCGGGCGGCTTGGAGGGGAAGACGCTGTTGCCATCGTCCCGGCCGCTGGACGACGAGTTGGGCTTGCCGCCTCCTTCCATGGCCGGGGGACGCGGGGGGTGCCGGTGCCGGCGCCGGGACCAGGCTCGCCCGGGGCGCGAGGCTGCGGGGCCGGGGCCGAGCCGGCTGCGCGCGAGCCCGGCTGCCCGTCGCGCCGGCGGCGGCGGGGCGGCGGCTGCTGCTTCCCGCCCGCCCGCTGCTCGCTGCGCGCCTCGCTCCCGCCGCCGCCGCTGCCCTTAGTGGCTGCGCTCGGGCTGCGCCGCGCGGGGCTGGGCTGGGGCTGCCGAAGCCGGGAGGCTCCGCTCGACCCGCCGCGCGGCTGCCCCCTGCCGGCCGGAAGGGTCTGCACGCCGCGCACTCCCACTCTCGCTCCACTTCTGCCCAGCGTGACATTGAACTCGGGAGCCCTGGGAGACACTTCTCCTACCCGTTGTTAGAGTCTGTATTTATTTGTTCAAAGAGGAGAGAGACCGAGAGACACAGAGAGACAGACTGAGCTGGTGGATCTACTCTCATCCCGAAGAAACAAACATCCTAAAACTCACGGGGACAGCATCACGTTGTTTGAACGCCTGTTTGAATGATGTTACAGAAGGGTAAGGGAGAGAGGATGGCCGGCTCCTCAGGCAGAAAGTTCACGAGCCAGTCGAGATGTACAGGTGAAAGTGGGATTCGACAATGGATGATAAGTTTCGTGAGCAGAAGGGAAGTTCAGTGTGTGTGTGTGTGTGTGTGTGTGTGTGTGTGTGTCTTGGAAGGTAAGAGCAGGCAGCAAAACGTGCCAGGTGTGGGTACCCGGAGTAATCAGCTGCTTAGGGCTTCTCAGATTAAGCTCTGCGCCCCACAGACAACTGACCTCCTTCCACTTATCCCTGCTTATTCTCTCAGCGCTCCCTACGCAGGGCCTGGGATTTCTTTCTTGCCAGGGCCACTCACACCAACACACAAAGCCAGCAGGGCCTCCGACTGCCTTCACCAAGACAAAAACATGTACTAGGGAGACCTTGCCAGAACTGACCTATCTTTCAGATAAGTTATGTAATCAAGAAAACACACTAAGAGGCAGGCTTATTGGTCAGCGTTTGCCTACACCTCACCAGAAGCCAAGATGTCTTGGCATCTAGACCAAAGGTAATCACCGTTTCAGACGGGGGGAAAGTGTTCTCAGATGAAATTTACAGCTATGGCTGACGCTGCTGAGACTCCTCTCATTCCCTCTGTGTCTCCCGAACCCACTGGGACATCGGGCCAAAGTCACCGGTCACTCAGCACCCAAAGCTGAAGAGCTCTAAGCCTCCCAGATGCCCCAAAGTATCTGTTCCAGACACAGCATTGTCTTCCTGCCCATGGCCTCCTCAAAGGGAACCCCACCGCACCAAACGTCCCTGGTCTCATGGGGTCCCGTCTGCTACAGCCATATTTTCAGGGAGGGGAGCAGGCACCTCGAGGAGGGAATCTGTGACAAGCTGGCCACTGATGGCCTTGCCTGAGGAGTGAACGGCCAGTCAAGGTGCTTTCCTGAAACACTAAATGGTGGTGAAGCCAGTTCACCCTGGGAGAGGTGAGAATAAAGACAAAGGAAGGGCAGAGGCCTGAGAAAGGGAGCAGAGAACAGAAAAAGCAGGGAGAAGCAGAACACAAAGCCACGAGGCCCCACTGTGCTCTCATTTTGTAAGATTTTCCTTACCACTCCACATCCCGGAGCCTATGCTAAGTCTCCCTCCGTGAGCTCCATCCTGACTCAGACACCATCTGTTCTCAACTAATCAAACACCAGAACCCTAAGAAATTAGTACAGGTGGCCAAAATTCGATGGTAAGAAGTAGCAAAAATATGAACAACATAGTGCTGTGATCAATGAAATTAGGGACTTTGGGAATGCAAGAGGCCAAGGGTGTGAGGAAGCAAGGGGATGGATAAACGAGGCTTGCCTGAAGCCCAGCTCTCCTCGAGAAAGGCCCCGTTACTGGCACAGCTTTTCTTGATTGGATCAAACATGTTCCCTGCTCTTCTCCCATTCTGAAGGCCCCTCCAATCCCTCTATATTCAGTCCTGAGTGTGGCAATGTATATTTTAACATAAATTTTAAAATTTTATAATAGTGTTAAAATATACTATATAAAATGTCATGCTAACTGAGAGTTAAGTCGATTTCCCTTCGCTTCTAGCCATTCCTCTTTGTTCTATTTCAACTTCTTCACGACCAGGTAGTTATTTTAGTCAGTTTTTCCTGATTTCACTGTCTGTACTAAACTAATATGGCAGAACTACTAAAAAGGAGGTTTTCAAAATACAACAAAGAGGTATCTTAAATAGGGTCACAAGTCTTTGGTTGCTCCAGATACAGCTTTGAAATTATTTTTCATTTATTTGAATTCTCAAAAAAGGCATTATTTTTTTAATTTTGAGAATGTGCATATTATAGTCATTTATTAAAGTTGTCAGCAATAAAACAGTCATGTTTGTTTGCTGTACTTTTTAAAAATATATTTATTTTATTTATTTATAGGGAAGGGAAGGAGAAACAGAGGGAGAGAAACTTCAGGGTGTGGTTGCCTCTCATGTGCCCCCTACTGGGGACCTGGCCCACAAACAGGCATGTGCTCTGACTGGGAATCGAACTGGTGACCCTTTAGTTCACAGGCCAGCATTCAATCTACTGAGCTACATCAGCCAGGGCACTTTGCTGTGCTTTTGGATTGCTGATTGAAAGTCATTTACAATGAGAACATAAATGAAAAGCTTCCTTAGAAAAGAGACAAAACTCACGAGGTTAAGAGAAAGCAAAAGCTACAAAAGAATGAAAACAATGAGACAAAGAGACAGAACAAGCAAATACATTTTAAAATGTGACTTAATCATGAAACTAGTTTCCATGGATAGAACAAGATAAATTTCTTTCCGTGTTTAATTGTTGTTTCTGAATTTATTGCATGAACTAGAAAAGGTTTTTGACCAAGAGGGAAACCAGGAGCTGGTTATTTGCCCAGCAGGGTTGCGGGGACGAGAATCGCAGACAGGAGCAGGTCAGGCTCTGCTCTCCATCTTCCCAGTCTCCAGCCCCAGACCTACATTTCACTTTCCTGTTATCCTTTCCTTTTCTCCACTGCCTGTCCCCTCCCTAAGCCACTCCAGAAACATGCTCACCATGTCCTGAGACAAACCGAACTGTGAGGATCACCTCTGCTTAGCACAGTTTCCTTGTCTGCTCATTAGTGGTTTTTTCAGTCATCTCAGAAATAGGACTAATGTCGCTGGACTCTGCATCATTAGATGCCTGTGGTGTTAAACAAAGTCCCCTGTATGCCAGCAGAATACAATTTCTGAGGACTCATCGAAGATCAATTATGAATTTATTTCATTAGAATGTCTCAAAAACAGTTGCAATGGGTGCTTTTCAGTACATACCATGATTACGTATCTTCTGAATAGTGTCCTTGTTCCTTTAATACTCTGCCTAGGATCAAATTGCAGACAGCCATGGAAGATCAATATGAAACTAAAATAAAAATCATGCAGACAACTCAGGCACATGTGAAATGAGACAAAAACGATAGATGGGCGACTGGAAGATTGAAAGCTCATTGGAAAATTCTCACTGAAACTTAAAGATTTAAGAAATGCAATATTTTAGTCCTCTTAGCAGGTGAGAAGAACATGTTAAACACCTATTTCAAATACAGTTGGATCCATCTATGTTAAAGAGAGCAATTTTAAGGAACAGTGAAAAGAATAGTTTACCAAAGGCAACTTCTATGTGTCTTATGCGCAGGAAAACTCAATTATCTCTGCGGAAAGCATCCAGCAGCCTCAGTGAAATGCTGGGGCTGCTGAAAGTCAGAACAAGACGCTCACCTCCCGGCTGTCTGCAACGTGTAGTGTTTTCAGCTGAAAATATTGCTTCCCTGAAACCCCAAAGAATCAACTGCATAGTCATTATAATTAAAAATAGAATTTGGAAATCAAAAACAAAGTAAACATAAAAAAATTAGATTAAAAATGAAAGGATGGAAAAAGATATTCCATATAATAGTAGCAAAAGGAACCAGGGCTAGTTGTACTAACATCAGAAAAAAAATAGACTTTGAAGTAAGAAAATTATGAGACAAAGGATATTATATATTAATAAAAGGTTCCATACAGCGAAAAGATATAATAATTACAAACATTTGTACATCTACTGACAAACTGTCAATACATATGGAGCAAAAGCCAGAAGAATTGAGGGAGAAAACTAACAGTTTTACAATAATAGTTGAAGACTTCAATACCCTACTCTCAATACTGGGTAGAACAACCAGACAGAACATAAGTGAAGGAACAGAGGATTTAAATGACACACCAAACCAACCAGATCTAACAGAATATTCCATATAACATTCTATGCAACAATAGCATACACATTCTTTTCAAGTGGACATGGGACAGTTCCCAAAATAAATCACATTAGGCCACAAATTAACTCTCGATAAATTTTAAAAAAATAGTTATCATAAAATGTATCTTCTCTGACCACAGCAAGAAGTTAGAAATCAATAACAGAAATAGAACTGGAAAATTTACAAATTTGTAAAAATTAAGTAACCCACTCTTAACCAATGAATCAAAGAAGAAATCACAAAGAAAGTCAGAAAAGGCTTAAGATGAGTGGAAACAAAAACACGAAATGCCAAAGCATATGGAACACAGTGGAAGCAGTACTAAGACAGAAATTTAAATGCTTACATTAAAAAACAAGAAACTTTACAGAGTAAGGAAGCAGAAAATAAAGAACAAAATAAACCCAAATTTGTCAGAAGAAAGAAAATAATCATTAGAGCAGAGATAAATTGAACAGAGAATAGAAAAGCAATAGAGAACATTAATAAAATCAAAAGGTAGTTCTTCAAAGAGATCAACAAAATTACCAAACCTTCAGCTTGATGGACTGAAAATAGAGAAAAAATTTAAATTGCTAAACTCAGATATTAACATTAGGATATTACTGTCAATTCTAGTGACATGAAAATGATAGGAGAGAATAACTGTATGCCAACAAATTGTATAACCTACACGAAATGAACAGTCTGGGAAATACAAATTCTTCCTAGAATAAATCATGCAGAAACAG